GAGCACACTGATTAAAGATACTTGTGATTATATCTTACAAGGAATAGTATACCAGTTCTCTTGCTATTTTAGAAAAATTATGTACTGGACATCTGCTAGAGTCCCAGTCATAACTAATCCCCATTTGCATAAGCAAGACACTGAGAAAGTCCTAATCTTTTAAAACTACCCATTAAAAATGAATGCTAAAGAATGAGAGATCTCCTTTCCCTTCCATTTTCTTCCTTCTCTTTTTCCCTTTCTATTTCTTTCTCATATAATCATTTTATGATGCCCTGAGAAAAGGAGCAAGGGAAACAAGCTGAAAAGATGGTTGCTAAGGAGAAAAAATATAAAAAGATGTAAAAGGAAAATCTACAATATAGTTCCTATGCATGGAAGGAATCGGAAAGTATAAGACATGTCTCTTCTTGAAAATAAACTGAGCTTTCAGGACACACTGCAGTTCCCATGATGGGTCTTACGTGGGTTATTCTCTTGTTTTAACCTGCCTTGTTCTGAAAAAGTGACGTGTAGAGATTTAATAGCACAGTGTAGAAGAACATAAGAACAAATTGCAAATGTGACACAAAAGCGTGGGGTTTGGTGTTTTGTTTCTGGTGTTATACTGAAATAACCTCATTTTTTCATATATTGCTGGGAAGAAGAAAGTCTTAGCAAATTGTCTTTGGGAAAGAACTCCGTAATTCTATATAAACGACACTCCTAGTTCTTGTATTAATCCAGACATAAACTTAAGTCTTCTGGGATAGTTAAATTAATGCTAGGTGGGAGAAGAACACTTCTCATCAGACATTGATGCCTTATTAGTGGGAAATCATATGATTAATCAGTTTGATTACCTTCAAGTCAACTTATCTGCAGTGCAACTGGTAGCCAAATGAAAATAAGATTACTATGTATTACAACTTATTAATAACCTGCAATATGTCTTGATTATAACACAGCAGCCATGTGATGCACAATATTACAAAGTCATAAAAACATCTTGACAGCAGTGAATATGGAAGAGGTGTGGTGGAGAGTAAGGTAAAAAATTGCAGAAGTGTGAGTGCCAATTTAGTTTTCAGTTTTTAGTCCAGTAATTTTCAGTTCTGCAAGGAACATTTTATTTTTGTTCTTTGGTAGACGTAGGATCTGCAGACATTTTACCGTGTCTAGTTTTTATGGCTGCTCAGATCACATGAAAGTACGAGTCTGTGTGGTGTTCTGAGACATCCAAACAACATCCAAATATCCAAAGCAACACCCTATACGTGGGAAGAAACAATTTACCTATCACCACTGGGAACTCAGATCCCTGAGAGAAACCAGCCACAGACCGTTCATGGGTCTGCTTTATGCCACATCTCTCAAGTCCTTATGAATATTGTTAATCCCCTCTGATATGTATATGCCATCTGAGAGTAGTTCATAAGCTGAAGAGATCCTTAGGAAGTAATAGCACATTTTCTTATTTTTCAGATTATTCTCTACTAATTTTTTTGTTCAGAAAAGCATCTTCTTTCATATTTATCTAACTGCAAAAGGCAGTTCATCAACAAGAATTAACCTCAGTGTCATAACTTTTCTTGAAAGGAAAAGCATGGCACAGAATTAAAACAAAATCACTTTGTCCTACACTCCATGTTTCAAGAAACTCCCTGTGTGCAGGTAGAGAGAAAACATTAGAGAGATACAGACAAAGGGATGGAGGAAGGGAAGATCCCAGTTTCCTTGTAGGACAAGAGTGGAAAGCTTAACAAACAAACAAACAAACAAATAAATAAATGTCAAGGTTTAGAGATCTTCAATTACTACAACTTTTCCACTGAGCTGAGAGAGAATACTGTCAGTGGTGTCAGGAAGTCATTTGTGGAGAGCTAGGAAAATCACATTGGTACAGTCCAGAGCTGTTGGCATTTAATTAGCCTCCATGTGGATAAGTCAGAAGTGCAGTGTGGAGCCTTCACAGTGTATCACAAAGCAGTGATACCTCAGCAGTGTGAATGCAGATGATTAACATGTAATGGTAGTAAATGGTGAGAGAAGCTGATGAGAGATATGAACCTTCTTTGGAAATGAAGCTAGTAATGCGTATTTCTAATAAAAAAAAGCGAATTGAGTAAAATTGAGTTTCATGAGGAACAAAAAGGTTGTATAACCTAGAGATGATATATCAAGATAAGAACCATGTACTTCATATACAGGAAGTGCTTGGAGGCATGACATCAGATTTTTAGAACAATTCTAGCTTTCCTTAGAGCTCAGCACTAATGTGAATCCAGAAGTTCATGTTCTGTCTGAACTATATCTCTAGTCATCTATTGAGTATGATAACACTAATGAGGAGAAAACTGACTTTTGTGAGCAAGTCTGCTTCATGATAGTGGAGAATTTATGAAGCCTATGAAATTGGATACATTATTGTTAATAAGTACTTCAGAGATACTGAAGTACCCACTTGCCGAGGTTTTAAACTACACTGCTCCCAGTCTTGAGGATGAAGGTGCAATAAGAATGATTCCTACCCATCATAAACTTCCACTCACGTGGAAGTATTCTTGAATATTAATTGTGCCACAGATGATGGAGGTGAAAGCTCTTTTTTGTCTGCTGACAAGAGACAGACCTCAAACACTGGAAAATTGCTATTGTTCACAGCATGTCGGAGAACCAGCAGATTCAGATCTCTGCAATAAGCATCAGAAAGAAAACACTTAGCCAGCAGATGCCTCTTAAGGTCATAGAACCAGGGACTTCTCAGATCAAGGACAAAATAGAAATGCACACAATCAGCAGAACTGATTATGAAGATGAAAACAAAAACAAAAAAAAACATGTAATCTGGTATATTCCAAAACAAACAGTTTTCCTGCATTATATATCATAAAACGGAATTATCTGAAGTCTCCTTACCATTATAAAAGCAAGGATTTTTCCATGCCCTGCTGCTCAGTGAAGTGCTTGTTTGTCTTAAAAGACAAGATATGTTGATTGCTATAGCCTAGACTTTTAACTGTTGTATCAAATCATAGTTCCTTACAACTAAACCAAAAATGTAATGGTATATCTCGAGCTAAGGTATCTAAGAATTACTGACTTGGACATGAAACAGACAATGTCTAACCAAGAATATATAAAGAGAAATAGAAAAGTCTGTGGCTTTTGTCTAATAAGGATCTATTCCCATGACCACTGAAGGTGATTGCATAATTCCTGAATGCTGGATACATCTATAGTCCAGATGAAGTTATCTTTTATAAATGCATCCAAACAGTCTTGAAGGGAATCTACACACTTTTAAAGGGATACAAATTCTATTCAGTATAAAGCATTGCAACACTGAGAGAAATATTACTCCTCATTCTTTGATTAGCTATGGCTTGATATGAGCTTCAAAATAAAACAGCAGCTAGTCATAAGGTCCTCACTTGGTGTCAGGCTTACCTCCTCAAAGTAGTTCTTTTCCTAGCTCTTAATTTGTACTTTTTACATTACACGAAGAGAAGTAATCTTATTATCATAAATCTTGTATAGCATATGCAAAATCCAGAGTCATAGGCCATCACAGTCTATCAAGTTAAAATATTCAAATCAAGAACAGCTGTCATGACTTATATAGGTTTCTCAAGCTAAGCAAATGCACACCTGGACATGCAGAGGTGGAGTGTGCAACATTATATTTTTAGTTGATCAGTTTGATGCTCAGTGGACCTGCAGCATAGCAGAGAGCTAAAGCCTATTCATGACAGAGTACTTGTTAGGTTACCTACTAGGACAAAGAAGATTGGTCAGTCAAAGTGGATGGAAAATAGGGTTTGCACTTGAGGCAAATGTTTGGTAAGGAAATATAGTTTCCTAATCAACAACAGAGATTTTTCTGCAGAAAACAAAATGAAAAATAGGAGTTGGTAGTTAACCTTTACATTTATCTTCTTAAAACAGAGATTTTTCCAGAGGATAATGTAAAGTAGGAACCATTCTCCAAATAACTCTCTCTCTTCTTATGTAGAGACATACTGGGATTAGTTTTTTTATGATAAACAGTTATTTATATGTTGGGACTGTCTACTAGAGAAGCAGAGGTCAAATTGTTTGTCAGTAACATACAGTGACCCAATAGCTCCAACAGCAGCTTCAGGCCAAACATTCTCTCAGCTTGTGTTAATTCCCTGACAGTTCTCCTGCACCAACTGCCTGAGGATAGTATATTATTAATATTTAGGTAGAAGAGAATACTTTCAAGAGAAAGTTTGAGAGAAGTTCAAGGCAGCATTTTAATCGGAACACTTGAATCTAGGTTTCCTAACAAAGAGATGATTCCAGTGTTCTAGGTTGGAGCTCTAGATTTGACAAAATATTTTTGACAAAAACAAACAAGCAAGCAAAACAATACAAAGCTATCACTTTCCTGCTAAACAAACAAACAAAGTCCAATTATTCATTATTTTGAACAGATGACTTTGTTCTAAAAGCTGCACAATAATCTCTGTTCATCATCTACAGTAAATAGCAAGATCAAAGGCATACACTAATTATGGGACCTGCCTCAAGTAAGGCTAGGTACATAACACCCCTTCAACAAAACACACACTGTACTCATTCCTCAGTATTTCAGACACAAGCCCTTCCAAGTTCCTTTTTGCCACCAGCTTTGGCCTACTGCTAATCACGTTATTAGTAACTACTCAAGGCCTCTGGTTGGTAAACACAAGATCTGAAAATAAGGATCTTTTACTGAATAATTAATTTCACCCTAAAGCAAACATCTGGTCAAGTGAATGCAACCCTGAAAGTTAATTGGTAATCAGGGGAATATCCATACTTCCTGAACTTTTCTGAGAGTGGTCTGAGCACTGTAGCTGTGAATGCAAATGCTGGGTAATTCTAGAGAAATGAAGGGTTCTTCAAAAGAAATCCCTATATTAATGACATAAACCAGGGCGTATTCTTTCAATACAACATGAACATTTTGTGTGACCAAATAGAAGTGAAGTATTATTGCCCACCCTTCTTACCTCTGATGAAGTGGGTTTGCAGTAGCCAGCTCCGAACACAAGATTTTCTAATGATATACTGGATTGCTCTGGTCCTATATCCAAGCTGCCTTTACCAAGCCATGAACCTTTCCCTGGACGAGCAAAACTAAGTGAAGAAAAAATAAGAAAAATAATCAGAGCAGTTTTGTTAAAGAGACATTACCTCCCTTGTGAAGAAAATACTTGCAGTATTTATTTATTTGGCTATTTATTTCCAGTCGATCTTGTAGGTCCAGACAACGTGTTTCCCTTATTAAATGAACATTGTTCAATATGCACTAGCTAAAACTATGTGAATGAGGCTTTCCATCTTGGCATTCAGTTCAGTGGGTTGGATGTTATTTTTCCTTCAGTCCTCCTTCTGCTTTCTTACATGCCTTTTTCCAGCCTAACATCTCAACAGGACAATCTTTTCATTTATCTACATAGATAATGTTCTCATACAACTATTCATCAGCTTGCATCTTGATTCATGAAGCATTTTTCTGGTGTTAATCATATAACTCTTCTTGTTTGAATTGTGTATGTTTCCTGTCTTATAGGATGAATTTCTTAATAATGAAAAACCATGCCTGGAGTCTGTTCAACACTGTAACCACCGGAGTCCTGATGAATAACTAGGGAACTTACTCTGGATTAATCTGACCAAATGTCTACATCTCCACTAATGATGTAGGCTGGAGAGGAATGGGCATATCCAGGGTGTGAGTCATCTCTTTCTGAAGTAGTCCTATCAAAGAGGTCAGATGAACTTCATTCCCAAAGCACTTAGTTGTTATTGTGGACTATAAAGAGAGATAAGGATGACTGCCTTACAAACAACTAAAATTAGGTGATATAAATGCCGTTAGTATGTGCTGTGCATAAACTACATCAAGATTTGGAGAGAAATGAGGCTACTTGTGGGGAACACATTGAGAAAAAAAAAATCTGAGTCTAAAAAACCAATGCAAGCTTCCACAGTTGATCTTAAAAAGCACACAGGTAAAGGTGGAATTGAAAAAATTAATTGCTCAGAAGAAAAAAATTCCATCGTATTTGCTGTTCATACTCAGTGCAGATGTAATGTCCCTGAGCTTGTGCTATAGCTCTCAGATCAGGATCAGCACTCACTGTCAAATGATGCTTCCCACCTAGGTATCCCAAATTACCTCCTGCGAGGGGTAGCACAAAAAAATAATTTCCAACTATAAACTGAAAGAAACAAAGGCCACAGGGCAATAGCATTTACTCTGCCAAAACTTTCCAATTTGAGCATATACCCCTAACTCACTGTTTATCATGAGGCTATGTCAGTTCAGATCAGCCATAATTCATGTGTCTCTACACTTTGTTCAGTTTTTAAGGATAGGCTAGAGTGTTGACTGCATTACAGAAACACAGGACAAATGAAAGAATCACGGAATCATAGAATCATTAAGGTTGGAAAGGATCTCTAAAATCATGTAGTCCAACCACCAACTCATCCCCATCATGCTCGCTACATTTCTCAGTGTCACATCTACCATTTTCTTGAACATCTCCACCATCTGGGATGGTGACTCCACCACCTTCCTGGACAGCCTGTTCCAATGCCTCACCACTCTCTTAGAATAAATATTTCCTAATATGCAACATGAACCTTTCCTGGCACAACTTAAAGCCTCTCATCCTGTGACTGTTACCAGCAGGGAGAGGGCGTTTATGCTAAGACAAAAGAGAGGAGTAGAAATACTTGTTATCACCCAAGTAATAGATGAGGTTCTGATGTGCAGGAAAACTCAGTAACTTGCAAAATAGAAAACAAATTTCAAGTAAAATCAGGAAAATTGAAAAATTTTAGGTTAATCACAAATTCCCACTTCCTCTCTAACTCTAAATTGCTGGTTTCTGTATATCCCACAGTAGTTATATGCTAGGAAAAAGAACATTCCATGAGGGGGAGGATGGTATAGAAAGTCTTTGCATCTATCTGGCCTTGTTAATGTATATTAATTGATGCAATCCAACAAATTGCTAGCTTGCTGCTTCAGAGCAGCAGGAAGTCTATCCTTACATTTAAGATACAAATAAATAAATAAAATAAAGCAATTACAAAGAGCCAAAAGATAAATGGTGCGCTGAACAATTTCATCTGTTATTGGATGGTGATGTCTGCTCTGGTCCGTTGGAAAGGCTCAATAATCAGAAATAAAAAATGATTGCTGTGGTAACAGAGAGAAGCTTAAATGAATGTCGCCTACCCATGAAAAACTCATTTAAATATTAGCAAAGCTTTCAAAGGTTTTAAGGGGGAGAAAAGCACTTTTTATTGCTTTTTTATTTATTTATCTTTTGCTTTTACAGCTGAGAAGGGATTTTAATCTGCTGGTTTTATGGAAATTGACTTCACACAGCACTGTAAAACAGAAACCTTTTTTGGGAAACCTGCCAAAATGTCATCTGACTGCTGAGGCCAAGTTTAACTGGATGTCTTACAGATTGTTGAGGTTCCCCTAGTGCCTTCTGAAGCACGTAATCATAGAATCAAAGAATGACAGAATATTCTGAGTTGGAAGAGACCCACAAGATTATCCAGTCCAATTTCTGGCTCAGCACAGGACCACTCAAAAACCAAACCCTGTAACTAACAGCATTGTCCAAACACTCCTTGAACTCCATCAGCCCCACTGCCTGTTCTATGCCCAGCACCCTCGAATGAAGAACCTTTCCTTAACCCTACCAGATCCTCCTCTGACACAGCTCCATGTCATCATTTTGAGTCCCGTTGTTGTCACTAGAGAACAGAGCTCAGTGCTGTCCCTCTGCTCCCCTCCCTTCCATCTTACAGAGGAAGATGTAACTGACATTTTTGGTCATTTGGAGGTTTAAACTGAAAAAAAAAAAAAAGGGTTTTGCACCACCTAGAATGACATTTTGGGAAGAACTTTCTGACTTTGAGGTTATATTTATGCAATTATTTCTGCAGTCATTATTATTTTATATGACTTTGAGTCCATGCCTTTCTGATTTATACTTTTAGCCTGTACAGAATCTTATGGAAATAACTGCATACTGTAGTATGTGCTAGACTTTCTGTTCATTTTCAACCTGCTGTTGCAGAATTGAATGTGGCACCTTCTAGTTCTTGCACTGCACAACGTATTAAGTAGTCATTCCTTAGGTTTTATCTTTGGTGGACTATTATTTAATATATAAATGAGATAACATTCCTTCCTCCATTAAATTGATACAAAGTTAGGTGATATTTTAAAATTTTTCATTCAGATTTTTCAAGATGAAAACTTTTTTTCTTTGGTAAGCAAAATGTAAGTTCTTCACAAATTGTAGCTTTCATTACAGTTGGGGAAAAATAGAAGCAGATTGGACTCTGAATCTTATTTGCAAAAAATGCTCATGCATTATATGAAAAGGTAAAACTACAAAAATAGAAAGTAAAACAAAACAAATCAAACAACAACAACAAAAACCCTCACATTTCCAATTACAAGAAACGACAGTCTTGTGACTGTACCAGAATGTAAGTTCAGTAAGGGAACTTGCTTAATTTTTTTAGAAAATTAGGTGGATATTTACAGGTTGTGTTACCCTGGACTCCCTCTTACACAAGGATTTTCACTAAGGTTATAATGAGCGATTGTAAAATGCTTTGAGCTTCTTGAGTAAGACTCTTAAGAATTATTAAAATAGCATTTCTAACAGAAGAAAGAATTCTCCCTAGATCCCAAACAGAGTCAGCGTGGAATCCAGATTGCAATCTGTAGTGATTCTGATTGCTGGAAAATACTGGTTAAGTTGCCCTGAACATAGGTTATCTTGCTATAAAATTTGAAATCAGACAAAGACAGATGGTAACAATTTTTAATGCTTGTTTGTTTGTTTTTAATTAGAGTTTGACTCATAAATAGTTTTTTCTTGTGTGATTTCTTGGTTTGTAGGTCAGGAGAACAGCATGTCGAAACAGAGGTTCACCATTGCAAATATAAAAGAAATAGCAACAAATAAAAAGAAAATGCACAGAATAAACCAGTAATTATTCAAGAATTCTTAGAGAGAAAAAATGGAACAGCACTATTTAAATAAACATTTTATGGAAGTAATATTTCTTTCCCACATAAATACTCAATTTTCTTTCTGCAGATTACATTATTTGCAAATGAGGGACAGGAAAAGTAAGTCATAACCTTTTCTACCCAGGATGAATTCTGTGGCAGTTTCAGACATAAGCTGTCCATAAGTAGGAGCCAGCTACATTCAGGATTGTAGGAAAATTGACCCAGCACCCAGATTCAAGGTGCACAGGAAAGTACAGATACAGTGTGTATTTCACACAGATAATGTCACTGGTGCTGGTTTTGAGGAACTGGAAATGTCTGGGCAAAAAAGGATTTAGGTAAGATAAAATTACTCAAGGATGGCCAGGGCTGTCCTGATTCCTCAGTGCAGTAGAGCTGAGATGAATTAGGTCAGGACTGAAACCTTTAAATACCAATGTTCCTTTGATTCTACTTCTTATTCCTACAGCAGCAAGCTCGGGGCACTAAAATATCACTGAACATATCTTGCTTACAGCACTTACAGAATGTTGGCACTTGTTTCAGAGATTATTCACAAGCTGTATTTTTTCTAACAAACAGCATAGTATGCCAACTCCTCTTGAGAAGGAGTGGTCCAAAGGTCTTTGGAATTAACGAAGCATATAACCATGCTTCTTTCTGTGTGTGTCCTAAAAGAGTTCAACTTAAGAAAGAAACTGAGCATGAAGCATGCCTAAGACTTATTAAACTGCACAACATGGAAACGTATGTGCCCCATTGGGAAAAGAAGAAATATTTATTGAGGCCTGGGCTAAACTGGATCAGGGCACCTTATCTAACTACTGGTGCTGGGCTGCTAGCTGCCTGTTCTGCTTATAAACTGGACGACTTGTGAAGCTAGTGAGAGGGAGATAAAGTCAACAATTGATGCCAGAAATGAAACTGGTATGAATGAAAGACTAAGCAGAAAATTGGAGTCCAAGCTGGGTCACAAATTTTCCATCCAGTGTCCTGCAAAGAATCATTGAATCCAGAACTTCAATTATTCTCAGATCTATAAGAGATGAAGGCTTCGAAGTATCAAACCTAATAATAATATTTACTTGTATAAGAAATTATTAACCAGGATAAACATTGGTATAAAATTATTCATTTTCTAAAAATTAGATTTGATCTGCTTGAACTTTTTGTTGGTGAGCATTACTCAGCAGGGAAAGGCCAGAATCAATCATACTGCTTTCTCTACTATGTAAATACAGGTACCTGGGAAGGATTTGTAGAAGAGTATCTAATTAGCCAACAGATCTAAGAAATATGAGAATCTGAGCCCATAGGGAGAATGTGAGTGGACAGCTATTTCAGGCAAAATTGTTCTCCAGGATAACTTCAAAACAGAAGTAAATTTTAATTCCAAATAATACGTGAGGTTTTTTTTTCCAGGGTATGTCTAACAAGAATCCTTGTTGTCATAGATATGAGTACAAATATGTGTATAAATAAAGTATATATGTGTAAAATATTACGACAGAACAGTGTAAGGCAGTAAAATAAAGCATAGTAAAATACAGCATTTATGTCTTTCCCAGGCAATATAACGATTTTATTTTTACTATAATGTGACAAAAAGGACTTTCCAATCATTAAAGTTCTTTCTGTTGTATTGGAAATAAAAATGTGAATTTAAAATTAAAGTTTTTGTTCCAAGGTCTCAATAACAAGTGCTAAGCAAGTAAGAGAAGAGAAAAGGGAGAAGAGAAGGGAGAAGAGAAAATAAGTTTTATTGGATTGGTTTTGTTTCAAAATATTTCACAGTGACATTTCTTTCACACTATTGACTTCACTCTGATTTATATGTAGAGAGTGCATGATATAAGAACTCTTTACACTTTGAATATTTATCAAGAATAAGACAAATCCTCAGTACCACACTTCAAAGCAATTTTACTGGCTTAAGCAAATGAAACTCTATATTGTGTTGTCAGAACCTTCATTCCATTACATTAAGTAAAAATACAGTATATTTCATAAATGTCCACAAAATTATATTCTAAAAGCTATAATAATCTGACTGTAGAACAGTTGCTTATTATGGGATTTATGCCTAATAGCTGTAACAACTCTCTGTAGTTCCATTCATTAGAGGATAACAAAGCACTGAAAACAGTAATTAAAGCCTGATAACTATGGCTCTTCCATTCTTTTGTATAGTAGAACAATGGATAAATTATCTGAACAAAATTATCCGGTTAGGAGTAGTCTGATACAATTGAATTCACTATTTTAAATATCTACATGTAACAGCTAGGAAATAACAGCAGTTACCTAAACCTCAGTGGAGGAAGAAAAGACAGATATGTTTGTCTGATGTGTTAATGCAACTCACAATGCTGTCACAGCTCAACCTTTTATAACCATAATTCATTGTATGCCACCAAGTACACATCACACATTTACACAAATGAAGAAACAAGAAAAGACATATCAAGTCAAAACAGGAAATCTGAGGAAAAAAAAGAGTCTAGAGGAGCATCTTTTTCTTTCTGACACAGTGGTCACTGCACAGTTTTTGACAAACTCAATAGACATTTGGCACACAGCAAGGCTCTGCTAGAACAAAAAAGTTGAACGGTGCTGAACACTGCATTCAGTTCCAAAACCCAAAGAGCTCTCTTCCTCTCAGCACTCTTATTTCCTGTGATGACCAGACTGGACAGAAGGTAAATTGCCTTAAAGACATTAGCTTCTCCTCACTCCCTCTAAAAGTAGAGGATATTGACCTCTAGTCCTATTTCATTTGAAGGAGTTCTGAACTATTTTCTTGTCATTATGAATCAGATAACACAAATCACACCGTGGCATCTAGTGTTACAATGCTGCACGATCAAATCGGATGATGCTGCAAAATAAAACTTCAATAGAAGGCTTATCACGTACTAATTCGTACATACCTCCTTCCAGCCCTTTTATGAATTATGCTAATGCTCAGAGGCCAGAGATGAGATTAGAGACCTACTGTCCTAAAGCGAAAAAATGTTAATGTTCTCAGGTGCTTTTCAACTAAAGAGAAAAGACAGACAAGGAGAAGAGAAATTTCACTAGTGTTACAGGTGGAGAATAAAGAGATCAAGCGCCTGAAATTTCTGCAAACTCTGATAGTTTTTGGTCAGATCCTGAATGTCTTACCAAGGGAAGGAGCTTATGTCAGAGTCTAAAACTAATCCCCAATCTCTAGAAACCTAGCCCAGATCTAAAAAACTTGAAAATAAATTATAATCTCCACTCCTTCCATACAATAAGGAAATGTATTCAGAAGAGAGATCTCTCCTGTCAGAGACATTTCTGAGTCCCTTACCTTATCAGAGGCTGGTGTAATGCTACCAGTGACGCATGCACTGTGACGGATATCACTGACAGGTGGAAATAGTCAAACATGACAGGAACATGGTGGTGCAGGCCTCTCTGGGGGTGGAAGTGAAGACATAGCGTACGGCTGCTGATCATGGGGATGGCTGGAACATCTCTCAGCCTAGAAAAGAAGGCAGTTTACAAGGATTAGTGAAAGCTTGAGTTGTCACAGCCTATAACACGCCACAAGTAGCAGACTGGGAGGTGGCCTGAGCTGAATATTTATTACTTCCTGGTAAAATTCACAGCTTCAACAGGATTTACATAACTGATGAGTATCTTATATTATACTTCTACCTAGTATAATCACAAATGTAACAAATAGAAACATGATGTACTAAAAGAAATATATATGATGCAGATTCAATTTCTCTTCATGATTATCCTTGCTGTCCACCCATATACCAGTTCTGGACTCATCAAATGTTACTAAAAAGTAACAGGCAGGTAGAAAAGTGCTCAGCTTATATGAATGCCCAAAGCCAGGACAGATCACTAATTGTAATTTTTAATGTATCAATAATCTATTTTTCTTCAGGCAGTCTGTGAAAGGTAGAAGCAGTCCTATGTCAGAGGGCAGGACATAGCCACAGAATCACAGAATCACGGAATTATAAGGTTTGGAAGGGATCTCTGGAGACCATAATCCATCTCATCTGCTGAAGCAGATTTCCTATAGCAGGTTACGTGGGAAAGTATCCAGATAGATTTTGGATATTTCCAGAGAAGGAGAGTCCACAGCCTCTCTGGGCAGCCTGTTCCAGTGTTCTGTCATCCTCAAAGTAAAAAAGCTTTGCTCGTGTCCGTACGGAACTTTATGCGTTCCAGTTTGTGCCCAATGCTTTTTGTTCTGAAGCTGAGCACCACTGAAGAGACTGTCCCCATCCACTTGACTCCTGCCCCGTAGATATTTATAAGCATTGCTAAGATCCTCCCTGAGACTTTTCTTCTCCAGGCTGAACATTCCCATCTCTCTCATCCTTTTCTCATAAGGGAAAGGTTACAGGCCCCTAATAATCTTTGTGTCCCTCCACTGGATTCTTTCTAGAAGTTCCCTATATTTTTTTAACTCTCTCACGCTCTTCTTAATGCACCCCAGGATAACATTGGCCTTCTTGGCCACAACAGCGCATTCCTGGTTCATGGCCAACCTGTTGTCCACCAGGACATCCTGACCCTTTTCCACAAAGCTGCTTTCCAGCAGGTGAGTCCCTAACATGCACTGATGGATGTGATTATTCCTCCCCAGGAATGTACTACACTTCCTCTCATTGAATCTCATCAGGTTCCTCTCTGCCCAACTCTCCAGTCTGTCTAGATTTTGCTGAATAAGTAGCACAGCCTTCTGGTGTGCCAGCTACTCCCCCCAGCTTTGTAGCATCAGCAAATTTGCTGAGGGTTCATTCTATTCTCTCATCCAGGTCATCAGCAAAGATACTGAACATGATCAGAGTCAATACCAATGCCTGGGAAACACCCCTACTTGGAGTATCTTTCTACACAGCTGATGTGAAAAACTTTTTGCAGGAGGTCAAACAAAGGAGTAAGCAAAGTAACCACAGAAAAACAATAGAGTTAGGATTGGGTTCTTCTATTTTCAGAAAATACAAGTTAAAATTTTCAAATAGATGTTGCTTATGACTATTCTAGAATAACTTTTCTGGTATGCAGTCAACGCAGTATCAAAATCACTTATACAACAGTAGAATGAAATACTGGGATCATGCTAGCCCCATTCTCCTAAACTGCAATTCATTCCTAAAAAGGTTTATTTTACAGCATTAAATACACTTCTGATACAAGAAAATTGCTTTCCAGAATTACATAAATTTATAATGAGTTAGTTAAGTATAGTGCATGGCTAGTCCCAGGAAATTCCAGTAAGATTTGCAAAATATCTTTCTATTAATATCATAACTTTTGTTTAAAGTATACAGGTAATTCATTCAGATGATAGCAGATATTAAACATATGCATTAAGCCACAAATTCCTCAGAATCTGAAAGTTTCATTTTCTTTTTATTCCTGACTTTCATTTATGTTTGGTTTTCTTCCCTCCTAAACCCATCATCATTGCAGCTGATGATTGACGATCCCACCTGCCTGGGAGAATAAGGTCTCACTTCTTCTATCTTCAAGATAAAGGAAACATGTGACTTGAAACTTGTTAAGGTGTTTTATGGATATGAATGCAAACACATGAAACGCATTTGCTGCAGTAATCAGAAGCCCTTTCTGTCATTCAGCAAGGTTTAATAAGTTCTGGGATCACATCTACTGCTATGTCTCAGAAATGGATGCTATTTCCACTTCTTTAAGATTTTGGGAGGAAATCAAAGTCAAAACCCTCTCCTCCTAAAATATTGAGCTTCTACACAATAAAAGAACTTAACATGTTCATACATCCATCTTCAGTCACTTGGATGACTCCTGAGATAAATGCATTCCTCAACCTTAGCCCCTAAATGATGATATTTTCCTTTGACTTTAATAGCAAGAAGAAATTGAACAACATTTAACACACACTTAAAAATGAAAATGCTCTTCAGAAGAGGACTATGAGATACACTTTTCAAACACAGAGAGGAAAAATGGAAAGACTTCAACATTAAGGCAAATGAAAGACATACACCCTTCTTTTCAGTGGCCTTCATTCCAAAAGAACTCTCACTTCATTGAAGCCATTTTCCAAACCGAAGAAACTGTTGTATTACCAAGTAAGCTTTAAAACAGCACTTACTGTTGTTCACTATCAGTAAAATGCAGGTCCAACTTGAGCTGAAAATCTGCCTCACTCAATGCATCTTCCACCTACAAAAGATAAAGGAAAGGCTACTTTCATAAATTGGTATCTACAACATTGAAGGCAAAAGTTTCCCTGACAAAATCAAAGGCAAAAATATTAAGCAACAGTAGCATCCCTTTGCCATGGCAGAACAGAAAAAATATAATAGCAGTCACTACTGAAGGAGTCAGGGAACCAGAGCAGTTGAAGGTGCTTTTGCCTGCTCATGGCAGTTCTGCCATGTCAAAAATGGTTTTCTTCTTGGTTGAAAAATGGCCATGAAACCTTCTGGTTCTTTACTCTTTTGACTCAAATATTAATGGCTCAGACACTTATGACAATTTCTGGTCTCTTATAATTTGTCTTTTAGCTAATTTCTCATCAAGCTGATGCCATCCAGACTCCCCGCCCCTCTTCTCAGTATTTGACGGATTGAGAAGGAAGTTTCTCACTGATTTGCACCTGAACCATATTCTCTGCAAAATACAAAGGAAAATACACTTCAGTTTAGATAGCTTACATTAAACAAGATGAATTCTACGTTTTCCGTCAAGTTAGCACCTTAGCAGAATATACAAAAAATTCACCAAAGACAGTGTCAGAGGAATCTAACCCAATTTGACTAGTAGGATTTGTATAGGAAATATGATAAGTTTAGATACATTTTCCAAAGCTCAAACTCCTCCTGCAGTGTACCTTTTCCTGTGGAAGCAAGAACAGTTATAGTCAAGGATTGATTGTACTTCATGAAAATAATTAAAGATGTAAAATATAGAGCCTTCTAATATGGTATTTCTCCTAGCATAATCACAGGCACTGAGATGTGAGAAGAAAATTCCAGCCTCTGTTCTCTAAAAATGTGCCTTCTCTTTTGTGTTTGTCTCAAAACATCTGGAAGTAAGTCTCCAGCAAAAAAAAAGGTTTTTTTCCTTTTTAATGAGTTGTTGTCACCAAAATCACAGTTGCTGGCAGTTGCAAAAGAAATAATCATTATTGAAGTTACACTCTGAATTTAAACTAGGAATTAAAATCAATTACAGAGCATCAGACAAAGCAAACCTCATCTGCCCACAGAAGGGTTGAAATTTTGGGTTTTTGCCCAAGACCTACTGAACTCCTTCAGCTGTCACTGAATCTGTTTCAGAAATTGAACAGCTTTAGATATAGCAGGCTAGAAACATTTGCCTAGAACACCTTCAGGCAATGAGTAGGTATCTGAGAGACTTAGAGATATTCATTTCTGCGCAGGATCATGCATTAAGGTGCAACTGAGCAACTTTATTTTTAGTTCCACAACTATACTGAAATCAGATTGCTCAGCACAGTGCAAAACCCACATATAATCATATCACAGTACTCACTACAGAGATAACACATTTTCTTTTGTATATTGGAGGTTTAAATTATAAAGCTAGTGAAAATTGGGCTACGGATTTAAAATAACAGAAATCTTCAGGAGAAAATAACATTAAAATGCTTATGTATAGGTTGAATGTCTAAATCTCTTTTCTCCATGTACACACATTACCTAGAAGCCAATCCAACTCTTAGACATGACAGTTACGTATAAAAGTTATACGATGAAAGTTACTGTATCACTTTAATTCTCCTGATTTTCTTGTGTTTTACTTATTTTCATGTATTAGAACCATAGCAGCATTAGGTCCTTTACAAGAGAAAAATTGAAATGTCTTTCCCATACAGAAGAGACACTATCATTTGTCAGTATGTAATAATATTGTCTTCAAAGGAAATAATCATTGTTTTTCTTAGTACTACTGGGACTGTTATGGTTATTTCCACATTTATCATCTACAGAATGCATAGTTGTCCAAAAGTTTGACATACCATCAGTTTTGTTGTTGTCTTTTTGTTTTCGTTTTTCTCTGAAGTAAAGATTTAAGATTTTAAATGAGCCTACTTAACAAATTAGCCTGAAAAAGTTCTCTGAAATATAATTCATGTTTGACTGTCTAAGCCAAGGAGCAGTGCTCCTAGATACACTGAGAAGGGTCTTTTGGTGTTTTTTGAAGAGTTGTGTTAATGATTAAAATTACAACTGATGGAAGAGGAGATAGATAAATACCTTTGTGGAAATACAAAAATTTAAATTGTTCACATCAGTCTAATGTCGCCCAGTAGTTCCTTGTAACGCTCACTTGTATCTCATAGAAAGATCTTCATTACTGGACTGACTGAGTCAACATTTCCCCTGGTACTCCAACCTTGGCCTAGCTTGTGAAAAAAAAACACAACATATTTGGCTGAGAGCACAAAATACTCCAGGAAACACTGTCCAGAATTCAGGCTCTTTTCTACCCTCTGACTCTCTCCTCACCAAAAGAATACATTCATAAGGAAATGTATTTTATTAAATACTCTTTGGAATCTATTCAGTAAAAAGTTTTGTATATGAAAAACAGAAGCATTTCATGCAGTAAAGCGTATATGCAAACTAACATATTCATATTTCTCTTGAAGCAGTCTTGAATCAAATGCATCATTTCAAATTTGAATTTTATTTTTTTCAGTTTTATGGTTATTTCCTTGATTTGTTTCCTAAGAGCAACTCTATAAATGAAGTTTCCACAACTGTTGTGATGTACTTCCATAATATTTAACAGTTTATCCAGGAGGTCAGTCTGAATGATCTGGCTGTCTCATCGCACTTACATTTCTGGAAAGTACAAATTCTACAAGTACTGTTATGTTCCAGCATGCCTCATTCTATCTTCCATCAGCTACTAAATTGTTCTCCAACTGAGCCAGCAAGCAAGGAGGCAAATTACTTGTTGTACAGCTTGATAAAAAAAGGCAGAGCTTCTTCTTTAGCAAGATTGAAAGAAAGTTAGACTTCTCTGTAACAACAGAGTCTGCAAAATTGTTTCAAATTCAAAGAGTACTGCATTCTGGGATGACATAGAAAAAGGCATTCAATACAGTTTTAGAGCACCATTTAAATGGTGAAAGTACGCTTAAGTGTCAGTTCTAGATGGATAATTGAGGTTTCTTCCATTTAACATCAGACAAAAATTTGAGTATTCATCCTGGCTGTGCAGAAATAAAACAGTAGCAAATAATCTAATCTTAACATGCACATGGGTATTTTCTATTTTCCTGTATTTTTTTTTTTTTTTAATTGAGCCTATCTCATCAACAGAACTACTCTAGCACCATGAGAAGAACGCATACTGCTTCCTTGATGTAATATTCGATAGCATCAGCTCTGGCAGCAGAAATTACTTGGAGCATATAAACTCAATATCCCCATTTTGCAGCCTAACTATCTTGTATATTTACCGTATTGTTGACTTAGACAAAAAAGCAGCAAACAAATGCTTCACCCTCAATTAAAAATAAATACCACAGCAGTAAACAGATTTAAATACAGCTGGCATCTATTGAGTACTAAATAAACTAAGTAATAAATAGAATGCACTGACCTATATGTAGTTCCACAAAACTACATTGCAAGAATTGCATCAGACATATCATATTGACAGACATGCAACACTATGCAATACTGTCTCTCAGCAGTAGTTGCAAATATAATAGAATCATAGAATCGAAGAATCACCAACAGGAGTCTTCTGAGCATGGTGCCCTGTTAAGCAGCACTCTTTGCTTCCTCCCGTATTTATACTGAATTTTTACAATCCGGGAGGATTAAATAACACAGCATAAATCCGAGGCCTAGGAACATTAAGAAGTGAATTTTGCTAACCACCTAAGGCAGAAAGTTTTACAAACCTTTACTTTTTTGCATTTGATTCTTTAGACTATCTTCAGCAGCTCATTTGGGGCCAAGAAACCTGTTAATCATCATATTCTACACACTCAAAAAGTCAAAACAGCCATCATACAGAGATAAGGAACTTTTCTCTTTATAAAATCTCTCTGTGCAAACACAGAATTGAGCAGTTATCTTTTTCCCAAGGGGCCTCCTCTATAAAGGTGAGTGTGATGAACATGGGACAGAAGATTCAGGATGAGTTTTAACTGTGAGGAATCTAGTGGGATTATTTCTTCAATTTTGTGAGGTGTACAGCTCTTCTGAATATTAATGCAAACATCATCAGAAATCATCGCTGCTTAACAGAGTGGAAACTGCTGTAATTTGAGGGGTGGGATGCTTAATCAGAGATGTTCCACTGTGGAAGTATAAAATTAACATTCATTTTAAAATGTTGGAACATTTGTAGAACAAATATTAATACATTTAATATTTTTTTCTTGCAAGCATTCAAACAACAATTCAAGGGGGCAATAAACTGATCACAACTTACGATGAAATAAAAAAAAAGGGAGAAGGAAATGGAATATGAGAAATAAGTTTAAATTAGTTTCTTTACACATTTTAATTTAGATCTCTACAAAATCCAAGTACATATGGGTTGGAATGAGTGCAAATAGAAATTTTAAATATCTTTATGTTCAAAGTTATACAATAAAGGTCCATTGAGCATCTCTGGCCCAATACACAGCACACGATTCATGCTGGCTGTTCAACTAATGGGACTATTCAACTGTTTTTGACAGCAAGCTGATCTGACAAAAAATAACTGATGTAGTTTTTCTCTCATTATCACTGACAGAAGATCCTCATGCCATATACTCTGTACCAGTCGTGCAGGCAAAACACAGAAATGGCACATTGGCCACAATCAGTTGTCATGCTCGAATGAATCTTTCTCCTGCTTCTGTGTAAAATTCTGGAAAAATTGTACTCTAACATTATTCCAGTCTTGTAACTCTAAGATACAGGGAAAAACACTGGGAGACATTGGTTTCTGATCAATAAGAGGAAGTCAGATATCCCTCTCAGGATGAGTGCTTCAGATCATGTACTTCATTTGTGTGGGTACTTGGCTTGAGGGAGTTGTCACAACAGGAAGACAATAGGGACAGTAAGCTGTAACAACATACATTCCTGCTGTCTGGAGCAGTGATAACAAAAGCTAAGAGAACTTTGATGGAAAGGGATTGGGCAACTTGGTCACAATATTGTGGCTGCTGGGCAAAAGAACAGTCACAAGGAAAGAGGAGAAGGTAATAGTAATATATGATAAGGGGAGAACCAAGATGCAGAAGACTTTGTCAGGTGAGATTGATCTATGCATATGTAGAATAGGTGATCTAGTGCACAAATGACAAATTATAGTAGACACACTTGAGTTTGAGTTTCTGATTCACTGACACACTGCAGGATATCAACACATTATTCCACTAGAAATCCATGGTGTAGACTATATTTGATAATAGGCACAGAGCCCAGGTTCTAACTGTCCTAATATAGATGTTAACAGTGTAGGCACTTGCATCTAAACAAATTATTCCAAGCACCTTCATCAGCATATACATATATATATATGTATATGTATGATGAGTACCGGATCTCCTAATGCAGATGCTGACAGTAGGTCAGATAACTCATGTACTCACCTCTATTACTTATACTGATGAGACCTGTGACAGCATATAGATTAGTGGAGGCATTTGTGATGGACACTTAAAGTCAGGTATGAGGAATCCCAACCCTCCTGTTTTTTATGGACATCCCAAGACAACTCACCCTTTCGCCATCCAGAAGCAGATGTACTCTGAAGTTCATTGATTCATTAAGAATGATCTCTTCGTTCCTGTACAAAATCTGAAATATTCTGCTGTAAACGTTGTTTTCATGCACACAGGCAGAGCAAAGGCTGGAATCACCTGCACAAAACACAGACAGACTGCTGGTATGATTTCTGTAGGGAGACTATTTTCTCTCTTATGCTTTCACTTCATGATTATTTAGGCCAGTTTTATTATAACTCATAATTAAACACTTGCATTCTCAATAATTAATGTTAATGGAGCAGGTTGTTGCAGGTTTCCACAGTATTAAAAGAAACAAATGTTAAACACAACCAGGCACGTTGGATTTCAAAGTGAGAACAGTTAAACCTGTGTCAGCATTTACCCCAACTTTATTTCTAATGAAAACTAAAGCATCTTATGTTCCCCAGGGAATCTTCAGAAGCATGAGCTATAGGTGCTCACCTGAAATACTTCAATTTTTGTCTACAGTGAGCATATTTCAGAAAAGGGAACTTCCTTGCTACCTCTGGTGCTTCTAGAAGTCACTACCCGGGAGGGAAAACAACAGCTAATAGCACATTTCAAATGAGGAAGCCCAAAGTGCAGAGGCATCTTGGTTGAAATTATAGAAAAAGAATAGAAGTACATTTCATTCAACTTGATGAAAGTCCTGTGAAATCCCACAGGCCATTGGCCCACATGAGAGATTCCAAGTTGGCCCACACAAAACAGACTGAATGAAGGAATTCAAGAACCACAAGCCTAAGCTTCTTCCCATTGTTTTCAGATAGTCAAAGTTTTCATCTGTTTGTGCTGTTATGTCACATGAGAACAAATTAGTTTCACAGATACACAGGTAGAATTAACCCTTCCTAACTTTGAATTCCTCCACTGTACGCAGTTTTTTCTGGCTACAGAAGAACCTGTGGGTTTTAAGATACTATGATTACACAGGAACCCATGGGTTTTCAGACACTGGGCATACGACAAAAAAGGATGAAAGATTTTATAATGAAAAGAATTCTAATTTTCACCTGAATTCCACTGTTTCTTAATTCTTCTTTCACTGACAAGAACAGAGCATGACTTGCTTAGCTTTCAAAATTACACTGAAGGCAACAACGTTTGCCTTGATGAGTTCATCCACAGGAGTCTGTGATATTTGTGTGCTTACCTAATGAGCAGCTTAGCACCAGAGTGAGGTTCTTTCCAATTCGGTCTTGGCAGTCAACTTGAATAACTTGTTAATGCTACTTCCATTGACACTGAGCAACAACTTGCAAAATTTACTTTCAGTCACTTCCATCATTTTACAGCTTTCAGCTCAGGATGAGCCTGAAATTTAATTCTTTAGTGAGTGGTAATTTGTAACTCTCCTGATGAGATGTGTTTAAAAAAGCTGTACCAGAATCAGTACCTCAGAGAGAGACAGATCTTGTCAGGAAGCCAGCAAGCACATGCTTTTTAAAAAGAATAACAATATCTCAGAAAAGTAACTTTTGGACATTTGGATCTGCAGAGCCTATTGTTTTGAGCCTATGATCTGGGGTAGGAAAAAAGTCCAGGTCAGAGTCTTAGGGACCACTGGTTTGTAAGGAGTTTCAAATCAGGGCTGGTCAATTCTGCTTTGCTAAAGCTACTGCTTTGTTTCACGTGCATATTTGCAATCAGAAGATACTGAATTGATACTGACAAAGGACTAAAAATTTCCAAGGGTAAAGCATGTTTAAGGTGAAAAAAAATAGAAAAGAAGGGCTAAGAAAGAAAAGAAAAGAAAAGAAAAGAAAAGAAAAGAAAAGAAAAGAAAAGAAAAGAAAAGAAAAGAAAAGAAAAGAAAAGAAAAGAAAAGAAAAGAAAAGAAAAGAAAAGAAAAGAAAAGAAAAGAAAAGAAAAGAAAAGAAAAGAAAGAACGAACTAAATGTCACAATAGATAAGTGAATGGAGCCTTGACATTATAATCAATTGTAATCATTAGGTTTTGTGATGCTTGTCTGCTGGAACTGGAATACTGCAGACAAAGAAGTACCTTCTCTAAATAAATAAAAAAATAAGTTAATGAAAAGGGTCAGTGGGAAAGAGTTCATTAAAAAGCAATAAGACTTCTGCTAATCAATTATCAGGACCACGGGGATGTCAACACAAACTACATTGAAATCATTTTCCTATTAACGACTTTTGCCAAGAACACCCATGTGACAAAGTGTTTCACCTTGCTATTGCCTTCCCATCACATAGCCTTCCAAGTACTTCTGATAAAGTCCAAGCAGCCTAGAGAAATACACATTTATTTCCTGATGTTACACCCATTAGGCTAGAACATTTCAGCCTGATTAGCCCTTCAAAGCATGCAGTCGTATTTATTTTAATTTAAACCTCATCATATTAGAGACACTGCAAAAATCATATTAGGGTTATAATGCATTCTTATTCCTATCTGGCAGACAAAGGGAGCTTTATGTTATTTGATTTGGATATTGATATACCGCTGCTCTTCTAAGATGGAAAGTTTAATGTCATTTACTTTTCAAATGCACTTCTGCACAGACCATTGCTAGTGTGTAACTGCTTTAGGAGCCAGATTTGCAAGGTGGCATAAAGAGACATTTCTCTTGCTGGAAAGGTCAAAATCAAAGACATGCAGATAAAATACAGTGCTAAAAATTGCTTAGTTTAAGAACAGATCTATGTGGGTCACTCCAAAAGTAACGCCTTCAATTTATTTCCATGGAAACTCCTACATATAAAAAGAGAATTACACTGTTTGATAGAGGAAGTTCTGCTACAAAACATGATTTTTTCATCAGTCACCACCATTCTATCCAACTCTCTATTTTCACCAGCAATGAACGAGAGCCAACATGCTGTGCTTGCAAAAATCTGCATTTAGTGAAGGTGACATATTGTCATCACTGCTGAAACACACTACCCACCACCTCACTGTGCTCACATGTAGCTTTTGGTCTTTAACATTCAGCAAGCATTAATGAATGTCAGTGTACACCTGGCTGCATGACCATACTAAAGCTTTTTTCACTCAAAAGAAGTGATTCCAAGCCAGACAGACGTATCCGTAGCCTATTCCACAAAAACATCACCATCATCCCAGTAACTTTTGGAAAGTAAGTTTTGCATATTTCTCCTTGTTCTTGGGAAGCTTTCTGACAGTTACGTTGTCCTAAATGCACAAACTTGTCAGCTAACAGACACAGTAGCAAGAAGGCTGGCATTTACCATGGCTGACATCCATCAGAGACTTGATAGTCCAACCTTTGTTGGACTAGATGACCCTTCAAACTCAAACTACTCTACTATAATCCTATGATGATGGTTGCTAGAAGAAGACATAGGAGAGGAGAGCCACGAAGATGATCAGGGGACTGGAACACTCCCCTATGAAGACAGCCTGAGGGAGCTGGGCTTGTTCAATCTGGAGAAAAGAAGGGTGCGGGGTGGCCTCATTGCAGCCTTTCAGTACCTAAAGGGAACCTACAAACAGGAGGGGAATCAACTCTTTGAAAGAGTTGATAACTGCAGGACAGGGGGAAATGGTTTTAAGTTGAGGGAGGGAAGATTTAGGTTAGACGTCAAGGGAAAATTCTTTGCTATGAGAGTGGTGAGGCGCTGGAACAGGCTGCCCAGAGAGGTTGTGGATGCCCCATCCCTGGAGGTGTTCAAGGCCAGGTTGGATGGGGCCCTGGGCAGTCTTGTCTAGTATTAAATGGGGAGGTTGGTGGCCCTGGATGTGGCAGGGGGGTTGGAGATTCATGATCCTTGAATGATTCTGTGATTCTGCGATTCTGCGACAGAGCAGATATACACCTGTGCACATACATCCCCCTCCATCCTCCAGGACAAAGCATAAGGTGGTGAGAGAGAAGCTTGAAACTCTCCCAAACCCCTTTCTAGCAAAACCTCACCTACCCATGCAGCTTTGAGTTATGTCTGCACTGCTCACAGGCCACATGCACTCCAAGAAAAGCACATTTGGTATGTGGAAACTGCTGGAAGCTCTGAATCCCTGGTGAGAGCTTGAGTTAAGACTATACTGACCTTCTTTTAGCTCTTTATTCCACAATTTCAAAAGTCTAGGTTTTGGTAAATTCAAAAAGGAAAGACTAATCTTGCAGTAATTACCTTTGCTCAGTAAATTTTCTTGTCAGGAGGTGTCACAAATGCACCTCCTGACACAAAAATTCAATGAGCAAAAGCTAATTATGCTACGTCCCTTAAACCAATAGGAATCCTGTTTCCCATGTCCTTTTCCTAAATGGCTTTTTCTCTACTGCTTCTCTTCTTTGGATGAAATTAGCCTTCAAAATATCGCAAAGTGAAAGAGCTAAGTAACAAATTCAGGTTTTATCTTCAGCCAAACATAGTGAGAATAGAAACTACACTGTTCTGAGGACCATCACTAGGAGCAAGGAATTTGAATAGGGAGCTGTCTGTGGCAGACATGAAAAAGCTCCTACAAAATAATCTTTCCATAATATCTCAGAGTATATAGAGATGAGTCGGATGGAAGAGTAGGACTTATTTAGTAAGTTAGCAATGGATAAGCAAATCTGTTTAACATCCTCAAGAAAAAGTGCCAGGATCTGAAGAACATCTGAAGATAGTGTTCAAATTGGACAGGTCCTTTGACCTTTCTAAGATCCTAGTACACAAAGCAGATAGAATATATCTCCTCTCAGATTTCACTGGCCAGTTATTCCTACTGTCCTCTCCAGCTTCATCAGTTTCTTCTTTTTCTACTCTGAGCCTTTTTAACCCCCTACTTCTACTACTTTGGCTCTCGTTATGCCTCAGTTATCTCCTTTCTTACCTTCAAATCTTCTGTACTCTAATCACTGTGTACTCACTCTTTTTTTTTCTTTTTTTTTTTTTTTTTTTATTAATGTCTATGAAAATGGCTTGAGAAGGTTCAGTAATATTTCACCTTGGCAAATTCAATTGATAATGACACTTGCATATCTCAACCTCTGATTTCTGTCAAGGAGAGACTCTGAACTGGCAATATCTTGCTGTAGTGGAGACTTGATGATGAATGAATCCTCAGAGCCATTGAAATCATGGGGATCCTTGCTGTTTGCTAGCAATAGGATTGGATAGTTTTTAAGGTCTGTGCAATTTGC